TTTTACCATCTAATTTAACATCGACCCAGAAAATGTGGCCAAGTGGCCTGAGCTTATCTCACCGGAGCTCCGCTTTGAAGACTGGTTTTATTTTGAAGCCTACAACAGGTGTTGGGTTCATAGACTTCTGCTGTATTAAGTTCTCACCCCAGCGGGCAGCCCGAGGGGCGAACGTGCACCAGGTGGAGGCGAAGCCCATGTGATCTGGGCACACGCTTCCCCATCCCTGTCACTCCAGAATCCCTTCCTTCTCGTCTTGTTTGGTGGCAGAGAGGCTGGAATGCCCCTTTGATGAGGCCAGTTGGTAGTCCTCCCACGTACCCCTCCTTTCTGTTCCCTAAGATAAAGGGAGTCAGCCCTCTACCAGATGCAAGTCTGTAAGGACACGGTCTCCATGGAACTGCGCCCTTCTTTCTGTCCAGAGTAGACATGAAGAAGAACTTTAGCTTCATCTGCCTCATTTGCTGAGATGAGCTGCACAAAGCCCTCTGCAAACTTGCGGCCATACAGGATGGGGCTGTGTGATAGTAAAGCCTGGCTGAGGCATTTGCACAGACCAGCCGGGGTTGACTGGGGAGCTGGCATTCAGATCTAGGCAAGCTTCGTGGAAGGTCGACGGCCGGGGGTGCCTCTCGGATAGGCTGTGGGTTGGCCTGCTGTCCTGGGCTTGTGTGCTGGCTCCCTCACTTCCCAGCTGTGACCCTGGGACAATTCCAGCAGCCCTTGAGCCTCAGTTTCTCCAACTGTGAGGTTAAGGGTAAGACTAGTACCTACCTCCGTGTGAGTTCACTGAGGTTCGCCTAGGGCCTGCTGCATACAGAGGTTCAGTAATTGGTCAGCTGCTGTTTAAAAGAACAGGGACAGGGATCCAGAGGTTACAGAGATGAGGGTGGACCTTCTCCAGAGCTCTGGAACTAAGTTGTTTAGTTACATTACAGGAGTGATGTCATGACCCCGGCATCTTGCACACGACATTAAAGATGTACACAGTTTAGGAAGGTGAAGTGCGATTGAATCAGGGCAGCAAACCCGTTTTCACAGCCATCTAGCCTCAAGAAGGTGGGAGGGCTTCCCTTGAATTCTGCCAGTTTGCTCTAACCCAGGTGGGTGGCTGTGTGGAGGGGAGGTCTTGGGCAGGCCTGCTGCCCCTGGTGGGTGGGGTTAGGCGGGTGGGGTCAGGGCCGGCCTTAGCCTTGCTGCAGGAGTGGAAGGAATGCAGTCCAGCCACCCTGACCCCTCCAGAAGTTCTGGTCTGGGATTTGCTTTGAACACGGCTCCCCAAGACAGCCCTTTTCCCCGTGGCTGGGTTTGACACTCTCCAGCTGGAACAGGCTTGTTTCACGCATGAAGCTAAGAATGAGAGCTCTGAGTCAGTCCTTGGTCCTGAGAGAGGAGTGGGGCCTGCCTGTTTGCATGAAATGTGGCAGAGGGATAGACAGGGACCATTCATTCATTCATCTTCTTTTCCCAAAGCACCTCCAACAAACTGGATTCTGAGCCTGACTAATAAAAACAACACATTTTATTGAGCTGCTGCATGTCTGGTCACATCATCCCATGGGGATAGGAACTTCCCACCTCGCTTTACAGATGGGCTCTTCTGAGGTTCACACCTGTAAGTGGTGTACCTGGGATTTGAACTTAGGCAGGGTGTGGCTTGTGGCATGTTCTTCAGTGCTGTGCCATGTTACAACCCAGGAAGAACTCCAGACCTTGTGTGGAGTTGCCAGGGTCCATGAGACATCTCACACAGTGTGATTCTTGCTCTGTGCGAAAAGGGAGACAGAGTTCTGCAGGAGCACAGAGCTGTGTGCTTAGCTTTCCTAAGCCTAAGGAGTTCTGGAAAAGTTTGATCAGGGCTCTAGTGTAGAGCCTAGGGCAGAGAGGCCAGCTGCAGGGGAGAGGATGGCGGGTGCATTCTGAGCAGCTGGGAACAGCAGTGTTAGAGCCCAAGAAACTCTGGAGCCCCTGTGGGCCGGGTTGTTTGCATCTGGGCAGTGCTGCCACAGGACAACTGGCAGACTCCTTTCCCCTTTCCCCTTTCCCCTCCTTTCCCCTCTAGATACCTAATAGAAGTGGAACCATACAGATTTGTCTTTCTGTGACTGGCTTATTTCACCTAGCATAATGTCCTCAAGATTCATCCCTATTGTAGCATGTGTCAGAATTTGCCTCTCAAGGCAGAATAATAGTCTGTGGGTGTTTATACCACATTGTGTCTATCCACCCATCCGCCCGCCCATGCACCGACACGCACTTGGGTCTGGCTGTAATGCTGCTGTGAACATGAGGTAGATCTGCTTTCAGATTTTTTGGATATAAACCCAGAGGTTGAATTGCTGGCTCACGTGGCCATTCTGTTTGATTTTTTGAGGCCCCACCATACCATTTTCTTCAGCATTTGAACCAGGGTTTCATTTTTCCCTAATGATCAGGGGTGCTGAGCATCTTTTCGTGCGCTTATTGGCCATTTGTATACCTTTTTTTGAGAAATATCCAAGTTCTTTGCTCATTTTTTAATCAGTTTGTTGGGTTTGTTGTTGAGTGGTAGGGGCTCTCTATATGTTCTAGATATCAGCCCTCGAGATAGGTGGTCTGCACGTCTTTCTCCCACTTTGGAAAGCCTTAGTCAGGTCTCTTGCTAATGGGCAAAGACTGAAGGGCCTTGTAGCCTGCTAACCTGGTTATCTTAACACTTCCAAACTAGAATACATAGGGTCACCGTTCCAAGCACCTCCAGCTTTAACCTCCAGATCCGGTGGACCCTTTCCTTATTCTTGGCTCCTGTCTGTCTCTGTGTAGCTGCCACCACTCCCCTGGCCCACTGTGACACTATCCCTACTCATCAGCACGGCTTGTGAGGCATTATTGGTCCTGCCTGCCCTCGCGGCTCCACGATCCCTCCTGCATGTGCACAGCTGTCTCCCTGGCATCAGCATCCTGTCCTCGAGCCGGGGCCCCAGAACCTTGTCCAGCAGGCTCCTCTTCCCTGCCTCTGTACCCACCCCTCCACGCTCCCAGTTTCGCATCTCCGTGGCTGCCTCTGCTGCTCAGTCGGGAGCTCCTGCAGCCTGCGAGAGGCTGTGCTCATCCGAGCCCTTCCTGCACAGTGGCCTGGAGCAGAGCAGGGCTGTGTTTGGTTCGGTGAGTGAGTAGACTGGCGAGAAAGAAGAAATGTGTAAGATGAAAGATGGAGGCGGAAGGGGGGGCGGGCAAGTGCCAGTTCTCAGCAGCTGTCCTGTGGCCCCCCTGTGTGGGTCCTCTTTGTGTGACTTCAGGCCAGTGGCGCCCCTTCCGTCCTTTCAGACCCCTCTGGGCTCCCTGGCACTGCATTCTGAGTTCCTGGGTGAGGCCCAGCTCTGGGCCTTTCTTTCCTACTATTTTCCCATACTTTACATAATAAAGGTTTTCTTTTCTTTTCTTTTTGCCTTTTTCTTTTCGGGAGACTGAAGAGACTATCTTTACTAAGAACTTCTTAAAGAACTGCAAGGAAATAGCTTTGGGGGGGCAGAAGGGGACGCATGGGGAAGAAGTAGTCTTTCATAGCGGAGGTTTCCCTGTGTGAGCTGTGCCCTTGTAAATGGNACTATCTTTACTAAGAACTTCTTAAAGAACTGCAAGGAAATAGCTTTGGGGGGGCAGAAGGGGACGCATGGGGAAGAAGTAGTCTTTCATAGCGGAGGTTTCCCTGTGTGAGCTGTGCCCTTGTTTCTGGGTTGGGGCCTGGGAGAGCTGTGAAAAAACAAAGGAGTTGGTGCGAAGCCACCCGAGCTTCTGGGAAGAGGGCCTTGTTTAGCTGTTGGAACGGATTTGGTCAAGTGTTTGTTTAAAGGAGATGCCACTTGGTGAGTGATGCCTGGCTTACTTGTGTTGTATTCAAGAATGTTTGATTGGTGGGGACCCTGACACTGTTTACTCAGAAACTGGCCCAGCAAGTGCAGGGACCCATAGCCCAGTGTTGCCACCCCACAGGTGCGCGCATCTCTGAGCCTTGGGATTAGGGCCGAGCCAAACCCACGCACTGCCGTTCCCTCCAGCCTGGTTGGCATGCATTGTCTTTCTCCAGATTAATAGATACTGGTTAGCTGATTAGACTGTGCATTTGTCAGAGATTAAAAGTACGTTTAAGTCATTGTGTAAAATGCCTTTCTTGGAGGCAGGTACAGCACCAAATCCTTATGCTAACTTCTGCCACATGTGTTCATGTGTTTTCAAGTTGGATCATCTGCATCTCTAAAATGAGTAGGGATAGTGTCACAGTGGCCAGGGGAGCGGTGGCAACACAGAGGGGAGAGTAAGGGAGGGGCCCACAGGATCTCAAGGTGGCAGCTGAAGGTGCATCAAATGGTGAACATTTCCAGACATGGAAACTGAAGAACAAAGTTGTCAAGGGCTCGAGTCAGAGGTTCAGAGGATTGGATTCCATTAGATCTGGCACCAAATTCCTGATTTCCCTTGCTAGGTTGTTGGGATTTTTTTTTTTTTTTTTTTTAATCTCTTGTGCCTATCTTCACGCCTGGCATATAGTAGGTGTTAGTAAAATGTGAGGAGTGTAACAACATGTTGGGATGGATTAAACTGAGCTGTGGGCCCTGGTGCCTGCAGTCTAGTAATTGGTAGGGTTGGACGAGGTCCTGAAGGCTGAGAACCACACTAGGAGCTGGCTGGTCGCATGGGCACACTGTTGGTGGGAGGGGCACAGCAAATCCTGGGTTCTGGTCATGCCCTGCTGCTCTGCACTTCTGGAATGTCACCCTGAGTTCTTGTCCTTGGAGAGAGCAGCCTAGGCTTGGAACTTGGACAGACTTGGATATTCTGCGTAGCACCCGTCTACAGGTGATAACTTGATGGAAGGGAGAATAGATCTCACCTTAAGAGTGTCACTGGATTTGTAATTTCCTGAAAGCAAAGAAGCTAGGAGAGAATGTGTCTAAAAAGTGATGGGGAAAATTTTTTTTGCAAAAAGATATGCTTGAGTCACCTCCCTTTGTGTGTTTTAGGCAACACAATAAGATCCGCAATGTGGAGGGGAATCAGCTGGAGGCTTACCTGTCCCTGGAGGTGCTGGACCTGAGCTGGAATGACCTCACAGAGATGCGGAGCGCCTGCTTCCTGCACGGACCACCTTTAAGGGAGCTGTGAGTGCCTCTGCTCTGCCCGCGGCCCCCAGGGTGGTCGCAGGTCCTAGGGTGGGCATTTCCTGTTCTCAGCCGTCACCTGGCTGAGGCCCTGGGATGGCACAGAGCTCCTGTACTGTCCTCAGCAGGGCCGGGCAGGGGACCCAGGGCCATGTCTTCTACGTGCCTTCTATTTGTAGAGCTTTACAGATGGGTAAGGCGGGTGAGGCAGCTGAGGCATGAAGAGAGTATGGATGAGCTTAATAGACTCACCACTAAAGAGGAGATTCTAGCCTCAAGTGCAGGTCTGTCTTGACTCCAGAGCCTGCTTTCTGTCCCACTTACCGGGCTGCCTCCCAGGAAGGCAGAGGAAAGATTCTGGGTAGTTCAAAGTATGACAGTGGTGGGAGCTCTTTGCAGAGGCGTAACCTGCAGCAGCTCATCTTTCTAGCCTCGCGCACTATGGAAACACGCTGCTTGGTGTGCTTGAGAGAGCAGTTACTCTATTCTGTGGTTCTCAGAACGACCTCATAGAGAGGTGGTTCCGCTTTTGTTGTCGGTCTGTTTTGCTTTTACCCATCTTAATGCCCTGTCGTATACCCATCCGATGGCAGATAGGAGGAAAAAGTTAAAACCTATTTAACCCACTGCCTGTTGCTAGGAAATTGTTGCTTTGGGGAGAAACTGAAAACCCAGGCTAAGGAGACATGTTCAAGTGATGTGTGAGTTGTCATTCCTGCATTATTCCCATTCTTGACTAATTTTGGAGATCCTCTGCAAGGCCGGAGCAGGGGTCATGGTGACCCATTTGTTCAGGGCGGCCAAGGCTCAGCATGAGGATTTTCCAAGATCCTCAGGAGAGGAGTGATTTCTTTCGTAGGCAGCATCAAGGCACCAGTATTGGAAACAGGAAGCATAGGCCTTGGGTTAGCCTGTGCGGCAGTGCCCAGGCCCTGGTAGGGCTCGCTGGGGTTGTCCGCTGCCACCTGGCACTTCCCTGCTTGGAACAAAGAAACCACCAACTGCTGGGCTGAATTGCAGTGACCTTCCTTCTGCATGAGAGCAGGAGAGACTCTGTTTTGGCAGATACTGGCCAGTGTATCTTTATCACACAAACTGTTCTCCTTTAATCTGCAGTGTTAAGAACAAACAGTGCAGCCCCGTTTGCAAAGAATCCTCATGTGCCCTGTCCTGGCTGCTGCCTGACAGAAATGAACAATGCCTGATTCCCTGCCCTGCTCTTGTAGAAAATTCTCTCTAGTCTTTCTCCATTCTGCTTAAACCACCAAAATCAGCATTTGTTTGGGGAGTAGGAGAGGTATTGGTGATGTCTCATAGGAATATCGGTGTTCCCCCCTTTTCTGTCTTTTCTCCTCTCTTTTATTACAGGTGTCATCTGAGCACAGGGGAGCCCACAGATGGCTGCAGTGGGTTTGCAGGGAGGTGCCCCACGTGCATACTCCTGTCAGTGGGGGGCCATTGAAGTACTGCCCGTTTTCTAACTGGAGTGTTTCTTTGACACATTTAAAATTACACAATGAATTGATTTATGCACATTTATTACATAAGCTGTACAATGAGACCCACTGCAAAATTAAATGCTGTCCCCAAATCATGACATCCACTCTGACCTTCCCTTTCAGTTGACTTCCAGCTTCTTAGAGCTTTTCTCACCAACCTTGAACCCTAACCCTTGGGTCATGGGTGCTGAGAAGGAATCCTGCAGGTGGCTCTGGAGGTGGCATCACCCAGCAGGCTGGTGTGTGGGGATGGCCAGGGGTGGAGGTACTGATTTCCTCTGTCACTATCCTGGGGTCGCTCGCTGGCCACAGCAAAGTGTGCTGTGGGCTGGAACAGGGCTCCATCCAGCCTGATGCCTGCATCTACCTGGCTCTCCCATCCAGGGGTGAAGAGGTATTTTGCAGGCTAGGACAACAAATGCCTCGTAGAAATCTTTGTCTCTGGGTGTGTTTGGCTGATTTTCCCAAGTTGGCCGGGTCTGGTGTCTATAACAGAATGAGACAGGCCTCCTACTGACCACTATATTTTCTCTCCCGGATCATTCCAGCAACCTGGCAAGCAACCGGATCGGCACCCTGGAGTCTGGAGCGTTTGATGGCCTGTCACGGTCACTGCTAACTCTTCGCCTGAGCAAGAACAGGATCACCCAACTTCCTGTGAAAGCATTCAAGTTACCGAGGTTGACACAACTGTGAGTGTAGAAGCCTGCATGCTAATTAAGTGACCAAACTTTATGGAGGCCACTTTTCCCCAAGGACCCCTCAGTTCCTTCCTTGCTCCTTGGTCAAGCCCTACATGGACCATCATTACCTGACCCTGTAGCAACACCTGATCAAAGCATTGTCGAAGCTGGATCTGGGGCCTGCAGGTTGCCTCCGGTTTCTGAGAAGATCCACTGAGGGTATACGTGCTTGACCTTGATGGCATTTTCTAGAGTGAAATGAGTCCTGCTAGTTAGCTGACCCTGGCTAAGGCTTCGGCTATGTGGGTTGGGTTCCTTATTGATCTTAGAGGTTTCTTAAAATCTATGCCATGGACATTGTGTGTCTAATGCGTCTTGACCATTTTGAGAGGAAGTTAGTGCAGCCAAAGGGAGTAGTGAGAGATGGGCCATCATCTTAATCTCCAAAGTCTTACAAATTTGTTGATTTTTTTTTTTTTTTTCAAGAAAGGATTTCTTTGTTTAGTTTTTTGATGGTCAAGGCCAAGTACTCTCTGGGAATGGTACAGGGTTTGGAGTTAAGAAACCTCCATTTCCAAAACCTGGTGGAATATTTCTTTTTCTTTTTTTTTCCCACGTATCCTCTTTGCAGAAGAGTATATCTCAGGAAAATAAGCCACTATTGGGATTTCGTTTAAACAGAACAAAACAGTTGTCCAGGGCCAGGTGTGGCAGCAGGATGGGATGTGCTTGGCACCCTCCCCACCTGTGTTTCACACATGCAGTGCTCAGGGGGACTGGCTTCTGCTCCCTGCATCCCAGCTCCTCTTTCTTGCTCAGGAGGGTTGTGTGAGACAGGGCCGTGAGGCACTGCAGAAGCATTTGGGGAAAACCAAGGGCTTGTGATGAGCCCTGTGTACCGCGTCCCTTCCCCCATGTCGCTGATGGATCCAGCCCACCCATTTCCTGAAATCTTTTGGCTAACTGAGGTTTTATCACATGGGCTAGAGGCAGTGTGTGTGCTCCATGATGTGTCTGGTCCCCTGCTCCCCATGGGCAGTGATTTCTCTCCATTAGCAGAGATGCTCTGAGGCCTCGAGTGGAAGGTGTCATTGCCATTTGATAGTCAGTGGTTAGATTGTCCTGGGTTGAGGCGTCTGGTGTGGATTTCTGTTGCTGAGCTGAAGACAGCTCACCTTAGACGTTCATATCCTGAGTCACACCCGCCTCCTCACTGCAGAGTCGTGGCTATCCCAGGAGGAAATGGGCTCGTTCACTCCTCGGGAGTGTTCGCCTCCTCTTGCCTCCTCTTTTGTTCCTCAGCCATGGCCAGTCAGTGCTGGTGCCTGCCTGATGGGTTCCCCTTGCCCTCCAGCTCCACTGGGATCTCCTCACCTGGATTTTTCCTGTGGCCTTGGAAACCGAGCAGGGACTGCGTGGGAATGGTTGTAGGTCAGGTGTGCATGCAGGATGCTCTGAGCCCACTGGCTTTATCTCTTTAGGGACCTCAATCGGAATCGGATCCGGCTGATCGAGGGCCTGACGTTCCAGGGGCTTGACAGTTTGGAGGTGCTGAGGCTTCATCGAAACAACATTAGCAAGCTGACGGATGGGGCCTTCTGGGGGCTGTCCAAGATGCATGAGCTGTGAGTGCTGGGCTGGGTTCTACTCCAGGGACTTGTGTGGTCTGTTCACGTCGCTTGTCCGTGTTCTTGCAGCCATCTGTGCCCCAAGGGTCCTTTAGGACTTCAGCTGGGCCTAACTCAGTGTCTTTGGGGACTTTGCCAGATAAGGGTGTTTTCCTCAAAGGTTAAGAAAATCTCTTGGGGGCAGTTTTAGTGCATTCGGTGGGGTAAGTTGGTTAGCGAAGACAGAAGAGGGAGCCATTTTTCTGGGGCTACTGCCCACCTTTTGTGGATTGTGGAGCGGGCCCCCCTTCCACGCCTTCTCCCCCATCCCACACCCTACAGGAACTTTCCTCTATCCTGTTTTGGTTTTGCATTCTTGATGTGCAGGTGGACCAAAAATGTACAGTTCATCCTGGGAAATTTATTGTGCTCAGTGAGCAAATCAGGGCATTGGTTCAGCTGTCCCCTTATCCGGGGAGCAGATTGCACATAGCAGAGCTCGCCTGCCCTCCAGAGTAACGCAAACACAAATGTGCTGAGAAGGGCAGAGAAGGCAGCTGCTCATCTTCTGTTTTCAAACATTTAACTTTGTTTATTGTTAACCAGAAGTAACCTCTCTCATAGTTGTGCACATGTACTCAGACTGTGAAGAAAAGCAGTGGTCACCTGCCCTCCAATCCCTTCCCTGACTTGTGCTCCCAGAAGCAGTCACTTCTTATTTCTCTACTTGTGTTTTCCTGTTTGTAGTTTTGCTGGTGGTTACTTCCAAGTCAATACACTTATACCTCTATCTTGATTCATCAACTTGAGGTAGCCTGCTTCATGGTCCATGGTTTAACTTGTTCGGGACACCCTCCCACTCCCTTCCAGTCTCTACACACGATGTCACTGCGCTTATGTCTTTTACTAGTTATCGTTGCAACTGAAACAAAAAACAATTCTGGTTCCTGTTCCATCAGCTCTCTGTGCTGTCTCTCGATGACCACTCCTTTTACACTCACACACAAACATACACACACATATTCTTACACACAAACCCACACACACACGCATACACTCACACACGTACACACATGCATACTCACACACACATACACACTTATACACATAAGCATATTCACACACACACATGCACTCACACATTTGTGCGCACACACTCACACATGCACGCGCACACTGAGGAGTGAGGGCATTAGCACTGTTGTTTTTTTCTCCCTCTTCGATGTCCCCCTTTGACAGGCTGTACCTCTGTTTTTACATACTTAGGAACACTTTTACTTGACATCTTAAAACTGTCATTTTAGACTTTGAAATCTAAGTGATTGTGCGCTGGGTAGGCTGAGATGAAAAGAGAATTTGTAGAAGAAAATGCGGTTAGCACATACCATATGGTTTTTATGTTGAACAAATTAATATAAATTGGGGGCGATCAGTTGCCTTAGAGGTTAGTTATAAATTTAGTGCTTACTTTTTGTGCAGCAGCAGCAAGTGAGGTGGGTAACAGCATAATGGGGCCTCCCAAAGTCCTCGTAACACGGAGCATGGGCAACATTTGAGTGAATACCGTCCATTCCCGAGGTCAGAGCCATCTTGGCCAGGTGTATGGGTCAAGAGGCTGGGTAGCAATGTCCTTACTTAATTCACTGGTGGGAGCTGACATTCTCAGCGCTGTGCTGAGATTCTGATGTGTATTTTCTTTTTTTTCTTTTTCTTTTTTTTAAAAAAAATTTATCTTTATTGATTTCGGAGAGAGGAAAGGAGAGGGAGAGAGAGAAACATCAATGATGAGAGAGTCATTGATCGGCTGCAGCCCACAACCCGGGCATGTGCCCCGACTGGGAATCGAACCCTGATTGCCTGGATCCTAGGTCGACGCTCAACCGCTGAGCCACACCCAGCCGGGCGTGATGTGTATTTTCTTATTTCCTTCTCATAACAGCCCTATGCAGTTAATACTCTTGGATACCTACATTTTCTAATGTTCAGGTTCATGCAGCCGACACAGTAGCACAACTGGGATTTAAATCCAAGTAGTATGACCCCAGAGCTAAAGCCTTATCTCTTGGCACACTGTCCAGAGCCCAGAAGTAGTCAGTCAACCCTGGGTTTGGATTCTGGCCCCTCATTTCTTGCCAGTCTGTGGAATCTTAGAAGAGTTCCCTAGCTTCGCTCAACCCCGTTTCCTCACCTGTAAGTTGGGGATGATAAAAGCTGCTTCCTGCTCTCCTTTTCTCTCATGGGCTCCCCTCTGCTTGCCACTCATCTGTCCATTCATGTGTGTGGCTCACCTGTGCTGAACTAGGGTAGCTTCCCTTTCCCCTCTGAACTCTGAGTTGGCGTGGACACTCACCACCATCTGTTTTGGTTTGCCTGTCTTGTCCTTCCT